TCCTCTGTAAATTATTTTAACTTTATATATTTAATTTTAATTATTTATAAATATCGAATACTAATTTATTTGATTATTTGTTTATTTAGAAATAAAAATAGTTTCAGCAAAAAATCAATCTAAGATAGAACAGAGAAATTTTCGAAATCTTCTGGAGATCAAAAATATGATTACGATACTTAAAATAGTTTACACCACCACAATGAGGAATACAATTCTAGTTTGTGGAATTCGTATAATTAGATGAGAAACATGGTGTGTTTTCTCCGTTTGTGTTTAAGTAGTAAAACCAAAGTATGGCGAGACATTTAAAATAATACAATTACCATTATCAATAATTGAATGGTCGTTATATTGAATTATTTGTCTCATTCAAGGATTTTGTAAACTGATACTTTTACAGATATATTAAATTCACTTTAATGTTACCATTAGTTGATTAATTACAATTGTAAAAAGTCCATATGCATTTTTATTGCACACACAAATACCAGTGATAAAAGATAAAATATAGTCTAGCATTAAAACAACCTTTTATTGAGAGCTATAATTCCAAAAAGCCTTTGAAAAACGAAGGAAGGAAAAAAAAATTTCTATTTCAGTAGTAATGTCAGTATATCTATAGTCAGATGAAAATAAGTTAAAAGCAAATAAAGCAGAAAATAAAATTCAAATAGAAAAATAAAGTTAAAAGTCAATTTTATAATTGAAATTATTTTATTTATAAAATAAAGATTTCGAAAATACTTTCGATTTAAGTAGTGTAAGCAAAATATAGTCACTACTTCTCTAAATAAATAAATAAATAAAAAATTCACTGAAAAAAAATTTTAATTCAAGTTATTTCAAGCAAATACATTTTTTTTAGAAACAAATAAAAAAATTTCAAATAATTTGAATTAAAATTAAATCAAATTTTCTTTTTCAGTGTAAAAAAAAATATGCATTTTTAACTTAAATTTTCTCTTTTTTAACTTAATTTTTTTTTCTTTTTTTCTATCCCATTTAAAACTAGGGCAAGCAAATCACTTGCAATTTAAAAAGTCGAACAACTATTGCGCACTTTCTCCCTATAACGAATCGCGCTAAGCGCAATCAATTTTCAAAGAACGTATTTATATTAGAAACGGCACACAAGATTAACGCTCGAAATTGGCGAGATGGGCATTACGTGCACACCGCAAAAGTAAATTCGTTAAACGAATTTTCTCACTCTCTCTCTCTCTCTCTCTCTCTCTCTCTCTATCTCTAGAGCAGAGAAAGAGAAGACACAAGCCAATAATTTTTATTGATTAATGTCTCTAACTTGCAAGCAGAATTGAAAACGAAAAAAAAAATTAATTAAATAAATTACAAAATCCATTGTGTGAAAAAGAGATGAACCGAGAATAGAAAACGCGTTAAAAAAAAAAATTAATTACTGACGAACCGGATGGAATGCTTTCTTCTCATTAACTTAACCAAGAATAATTCTCTTTTTTTTTAATACGAAAGTACATGTTAATCACATGTTTTGCGAGCGAAATCGTGCGATTCAAAACTACTCAAAGTATATATAAAAAATAATACTGAATATAAAAGTTTTAAAAAGTTAACCTATAATACAAAAAGTATGCCGATTAAAACTGTTTGTTATTTTTAAACGCGTTTAAAAAAATAGTTTTCACAAACTTCACTCCTATTCTCTCGCTCCATTTAACTAAAAAAAAAAGAAAATTCCTTCCATACTTTTTTTTACTTCCTAGGCATTTAAATTAAATTTTTTTTTCTGTTTCCAAAAGAGAGGAAAAATCGCCAGCAACAGATTAATGCATCATGGGGCATCAAGAAATTTTTTTCACAACCTATGGATCGTCAGTTTCAAAGTGAATTAATGTGAAAAGAACTTGAAAAACTTTCAAGAGCTCTCCGAGAGAGAAAGAGAGGGATAGAGAGAGAGAGATTAATGCTTGTATAGAAATAAGCAAAGTTAATTTTATTCAATGCCAGCAAACGAAGAATTATCCCTTTAGTTTGGATGCCAGAAAATCACGTTATATAAAAGAGATAAAGTAGTATAAATCTTGTAATACAAATTGAAAAGCTTTTAAATATTCATCAAAAAAGTAAAAAAGTGGATTATATACAATGTAAAATGATTATTAGCCACTTTTTTTTCTCTATTAATTAAAGCGCGGACTTTTTCATTTCTCTTGATAAAACTATTTTATAACGTATAATTGACCTTTTTTTCGCCGTGACACAAAAAACAATATATATATATATATATATAAAAAAACACTCGTTTAATTTGAATTGAATTTTTTTTTCACAATGGTAAAAAAAAAAGGAAACAATTTTTAAACGTCGGAAAAAAACGAATACCGAAAATCGAGAATAATGAAATAGAATTAAAAATAAGAAACAATAAAATAATTTTGTCTCTTTATACAAAATTTGCGATTTTTGGAAATTAATTTTATTAATTAATTTTGTTAACCAATTTTTTTTTATCTACACGGAAAAAATTTTGGTGCAGCAGATGCGCAATCTACGGTAGAACTGTTGTACTATGGGTTGCGGGCAACTGTTATCCTGATTTGGCGCGTCAGAAGCGCTGTAAGGGACATCAGACGCACTGTACGGGACATAGGTTGCACCAAACCGGGATAACTGATGTCCGTTTTTAAAGTACAAAAATTTTTTAACTAACCAGTACAACTGGTGCACCAAAATTTTTTCCGTGTATAAACACATTTTTTTTATTTACAAACATATTTATTTATTTATTTAAATATATGTTTATTGTTAAATACGTCACAGTAACGTGACATTATTATTATTATTTCTTTTTCTCACAGGACATTAATTATTGTTAGCTCAATAAAATAATAAAATGCGAGAAAAATTTAATAAATTATACATTAAAATGTTATTTTTAAAAGGGAAAAAAATGAAAATTAGTAAGCATTAAATATAGACAAAGAAAGAAAGGGGAAATTATACTTGACTTGTAATTACATGTTATTTAAATAATGGAGGACAAGAAATGAGGTACATTTTAATCTTTTAACTTTAAAACTATTGTTATTCCATAGACACACCCCCACACTATTGATTTCTCGTCGCTTTAAGCTCTCAAAACTTCTTAAATTCAGTTCTGTAACTTTCTTATCCAATAAGTATTCTCAAGTGGAAATGTTTCGTAAACTTCTATACAATAACAAAATAAAAAGACCTTTGTTCCACAATGCCCCGTTATTTTCAAATTAACAACTTTCACAGAGTAAAAATCGATATACAACAATTAGCATTCTTTATCTTAATTTGTCAGTAATTATGAATTACTCTTTTTATATTTTTTTTCTCACTCTCTCTCTATATTCCATTTTTATCTCTCCTATTTTTTTATTTTTCATTTCAATCAATTTAACTTTTATTTTTCATTTCACTTTTTCACAATTCTCCTTTTTTTCCTCTTTTTATTCAATTTGTTTTCTTTATTTTATATTATATTTTATATTTAATTCAAAAAAAAAAAAGAAAATTATTCAGTTTAAATAAATATTTATTTCATAATAATCAAGCAATTATTTGAATCAGATAAATTTTTTTCTTAAATGATTTTCAATTTTTCGTTTGAAAAACGAATTTGTAATTTAAAAAAAAATAAAAATTGCTCAAGATCAATGCAAACATAAAGTCGATGAAATTCGAGAATATATATAGATAATTAGAAGCAATTCTTGGGAGTAAAATTACCACTCGAAATGAGATTATACACCATTGTAGTAGTATACGCTTATTCCTCAAAGTCTAACCGGAAACTAATCCTCATTTTCTCTCACTATTCTTACGTTTCACTCTCTCATTTTAAAAGTCATTTTGTCGTAAATCTTATTCTACTTGATTCGCCACATCGCAAGGAGATTAATCTGCCTGACATAATGACCGCTATCGTTCAAACCTACAAAAGTTACCGCTCCCGCTCTGTAAGCGCACCCGAGTAATTTTTCCTCTTTCTTTTTTTTTACATCCGTCTTGCTTCCTTAATCAGGATAATCTAATAAGGAAATCATTCCTAGAAATCGTCGACTCGCAATGAGAGAGAGAGAGAGAGTGAGAGAGAAAAAAAAAGAATTCTTAATTGCATTCATGTTCCCAATTAGGCAAAAATTTTTTTTTTCTCTTACATCTGCAAAAAAAAAAAATGTAATCTCAAATTGAGAGGAAAATTCTTACTTTTACAAGTTATTCACTTTCGAAAAGAGAGAAAAATTATTCTCTACGATTCAAATTTTAAAATTAACAAAAAATGCTACAAAAATTTTTTTTAAATTAAAAAAATATTTTACATATACTAATTAAAGTTTTTTTTTTTTTGTAATTTGTTGAATACACAGGGAGAAAAAAAAATTCCCTCAACTATTTGAGTATTTAATCTTTACAAAGACCCTTTGTGTTTGATTCTATTTTTTTTTTATGTCTTTTGTTATATTAACCGGTGTAATTTGATGTACAAATTCCCGGCACGTTCCCCTACGAATAAAACAAACAAGCTACTACACGGTTTCCGGCTTTCATGATGCGGGGAAGGGAGGGGGAGGGGACTGGACAGAATCTAATCTGCCTGTGGTCGTGACGACAAAATCCAACGAAAATCTACCCTTTCTTGTTTTCTTTATTTCTCTCTTTATCTCTCTTAGAAAAGAGGAAAATTCGCAAACAAGATTAAATGAAGTACGCCACAAACCAAAATATGCCATTTTACAGAATCGCGTGTTTAAACTTCACTTATGACTCAACCTCAAAGAGACAATTATTTTATATCTCTAAAAAATGTCAAAAACTTCAATAAAATCACACGAAAAATTACGAAATACTATTAGGACGCATAAATATTTCCCAACACTGAATTTGTTGAAATTTCTACGATTTTGAAATTAATAAGCTTATAAAATATTAATATAAAAATATGTATAATATTAAAAAAAAAAAAAAAAAATACTGTAATTACTTACTCGTGATGTAACCGGTTTTTTGTTTCCAACATTTTTTCCAGGACTGCTTCTATGGATCCTGAAAAATAAAATTTATTTTATATATTAGATGTTATAAATTAATTATTATATTTATTTGATATTAATTTATTATTATCTGTTAGGTATTATTATTTACATATTATTTATTAGACATTAATATATATATATTTATCAAATAATAAATGTAATAAATAATCATCAAAACGCAATATTTTTGAAATCGCAACAACTCGTGAGAAATGGACGTCAAAAAATAAAAAAAAATATAGGTATATATATTTTAACGACTCATTTTTTAAATATATATATATTTTTTTTCATACTTTTGTTCACTCTATACTTGTGATTTATTTTCTACTTGCAAAATATGCGCATCCAATTTCGGAATTCGATTCCCTTTCGTCGGTTTCAGTGTTGTAGATGAAAAGAACTTGAACTATATATCGGTTTTTTTTTATCATCATCATCATCATACTTGTATTATTAACCTGTGGTATTTTATGTCAATAAAATGCTACTATTATTACCCTTTATAAAATCTATTGTAATATGACCATTTGTACAAAATTTCCATTTACGATATAATATATCAAATTTGATATATTCGATGATAAATAATTTGATATATAAAAATTCAGCGAAAAAAAATGTATTTTAAAATTAAGAATAAGAACATTAAGAATAAGAAAAAATTATTTAAAATTCAATTTATTTCTAAATGTATATTCGACACTAAAATTAAAATTATATTCTAAATTGAAAAACATATTTTAAATAACTAGAATAAAAAAACTGTATTCTTATTTTACGAATATAATTTTAAGAATAATTTTCATTAGAATATAATAAATGCACTCAATAATCTCTTAAATTTAGATTCTTTTTTTTTATTTACTAAATAAACAAAAACAAAAAAAAAAAATTTCAAAAGAAAAAAATTAATTGAAAAATCACGTTAAAAATTAATTTTAAATCCCTTGAACCACTCAAAATGAAAATCTGACGTGCTCTTCAAGTCAACGAGAAGCTTATGTATTGTCTCCCTTGTCATATCACCACCGAGACTTTTATCCCATATAAGTTTGCACTCCATCAGCCTCTCAATCTAATAATAATTCAATCACTATATATTGTCAATTTATTTAATCAACAATTGAGCCTATAGTATTTTTAATTAATTTAATCAATACTATGTAAATACATCATTACAATTTTAACAATTTTTTTTACAATTTATCAATTTTAACTAATTTAAATTAGTGACTCAATTTTTGCAAAAAAATTTTTATTTTTTAATTTAGAGAGTTTAAAATTTTTTATTCATTTCCAATTTGTATAATAATTAAAAATGTATGTGTATTTAAATTTCAGGTGGACTTTCAAACTTGTGAGAATGCGGGACCGGCTAACCTGGTACATGGTCTTTTTGATTCTACCTACAATTTTGCTGGCTCGTTCTCTCGATAGAGGTAAATTTTGAAAAATTTTTTCCTTTCATATATTCGATAACGTATATATATATATATATATAACAATGATTTGTTCACTACCTCTCGTCGCAACTCGTAGAGAAATTCACTGAATACATATTTAACGAACCGCGAGTTTACATATATATAGAAATTTACAAGTTAAGGGTCAGTGTCGCGTATAAACACACACACAGCGTAAACAATTAAAAATTGATTTCCCTATACACTCCATTTAAAAGAATAAAAAAATCATCAACAATTGTTAATTAAAGATGAGTTAATTTACAGTACCAATTTTATTTATTTCATCATTTTTATTGTCTTTTTTGTCCCTTTTTCCAAATTTTAATTGCTTTCTATTTTTTAGAAAATTTTTAAAAACCAAACAAAAATTCATTAACTAAAAATTTTATCTATAAAATTTTATTTTAAAAATTAAAAATCCCTCTAAAAAATAATTATTTATAATATTTCTAATTTATGGGATTTTTATGGGAAATTTAAGAGCACCAACGGAATAATTATATCAAATAAAAGAATAAAAAAAAAATCGTTATAATAAAACGACATTTTTAACTGAAGATAAACTTTTCTTTTTTACTGGGCACATTCCAAAAAAAAAAATGTGCTGAACGCAATTTAGTATATATAAAGGAGAGGGGGGGAGGCAAAAAGAAAACACATATTCGAATTGTTAAAGAGTAGGCATTAAAAATGTATCTCAGCGGTACGTTTGCATTTTTCTTTTCAAAAGAGGAACACACACACACACACATACGGACAAAAGAATGTAGAAAAATCGTTGTGCAGTGCCATAATAGACCATAGTTCTTTCCGGTGGTAACGGTCGAATGTCCCCTAAAGCAACTCTCTCTTTCTCTATCTCTTTCTGCTATATACCCCCTGGAAAGTTGGCACCACTTTATATGGCAAACGACTAAAAAAAAGACTTTTCACTAAACTTCAGAACAATGAACTGCTAGAAACTCAAATAATGCTAACTTTCTCAACACTTCTCTGCGTTGAGCAAATTAACTCGAGGGATTATGAACTTCACTCTCTCTCTCCCTATCTCTCTCTCTCTCTAGGAATCTGAATTTAATCGATTTCATTTCTATTACTATCTCTGTATTTCTAATAATGATGAAAATTTCGATATTTAGCGAAATAATTCCAATTAGAAATGAAGGAGTTTTGTTAAATTTAGATTAAAAGATAAATAATTACCTGATTACAATCAGATCATTTAGAGAAAAAGTTTAAGTATACTGAAAAAAAATTTATTTTCTTCAAATAATCGGTTGACTAATAACAAATAAATATTTTTTTGTATCAACTAATTATTATTTAAGCCAATTAAACGGTTTTGTATTTTTTTTGGGGTGAGTACTGAAAGTAAATAATAGTCAGTGAAAAGCAATTTAATTTTTTATTATTTTTCTATCAGTAGTAAAAGTGTGTTTTAGTCAGACAGAACGGTTTACTTTCTTTTAACTTTCAAATCAGGAGTATAAGTAAATTTCAGTCAGACAAATATGGTTTAATTATAATTTTTTTTAATGTTACTTTTCTTTCAGTAGTAAAAGAACGTTTTAGTCAGTCTACTCTCTAAATCTGAATTAGTAAAAATATTTACTAATTTGTATTAGTGACTCACTTTTTGCTTCTAAATTAGTAAAATTTTACTAATTTTTAGTAAAAGTTACTAATAATTGAGTCGCCGGAAAGTAAAACCACACATAAAATTCTGACTCCCATTGAATTAACATGGCCGTCAGAATTTTATGTGTGGTTTTACTTTCCGGCGACTCAATTATTAGTAACTTTTACTAAAAATTAGTAAAATTTTACTAATTTAGAAGCAAAAAGTGAGTCACTAATACAAATTAGTAAACATTTTTACTAATTCAGATTTGGAGAGTACCTTTTTTATTTTGCTGGACAGTAGTATAAGTAAATTTTAGTCAGACGGAATAGCATATGTACAATGCAAGCACATATAAAATTTATACTTTAGTAGAAAATGGCAGGAAACATAAGAGAGAAAAATAATTTAAATAGTGCGACACATTTTCAGACTTTGTCGTTTATCAACAACAACAACGATAGAACGAAAAAGTGAGTGAGAGAGAGAGGGGGGGGGGGGAAACGTGAAGGTAGCAAAAGGAAAATTTAACAAACAAGATGTGTCCCTCGAGTATAAACATTTTTCGCGTTCTTTGAAACTCTTTCCATATCATGATTTCGTGACTAGAAATTTTAAATGTGACGAATTGACAATGAAAGACAGCTGTTTAACTTGTTTTCTTATATACAATGTTTAAAAAAAAAAAAGTTTATTCAACAAAAAATGTTTTATTCGATTTTTAAATTTTCAAATATTTACATTTTTTGTTTTAATTTTAAGAGCTAAAAATTTTAGTTGAGACAACAAAGCAATTTTTTTTCTTTTTTTTTATATTTAGAACTTTTTTTGGATCCAAAAAAATAGTTTCGCGACATAAAAACAATTGGCACATTTTTGAATGTCTATTGCACCTTAAAGGAAAATTGTTATGTTGATAAAAGTTTTAAAGTTTAAAGTGTCACTTGGATCTAAAAATATCTCATCTTTTTCTACTTCAGTGATGTGAATTCTAAAAACCACTTTTTATGATTTCTACATCAATTTCCCATAACTACAGGAAAATCGCTTAAAATGCAGTAATTTAAAAAACGGATAGCTTTTAAAATAATTTCAAGGACTAAATTTAAGATAGAAATGATTATTATTCTCTCTATATAAGAAAAAAAAAGTATTTTAACTCTCCATTTCATTGAATTTCTTACGATTATTGCTGGACATTTTCACTTTAAATATATATACAAAAAAAAATTATTTCAACTTAATATAATACAAAGATAATATGCTTTTAAAATAATTTTTATTAAAAAACGAAGATGAGTATATTTTTTTATTAAAAAAAAATTTTTTCATATTCTAAAAAATCCTTGAAGCATATTTACAATAAACCGCCAAAGTGAATACAATTCATGGTGTTATTTATTTATTTTTTGTAAACATGTCGAGAATCAAAAATAAATTGAAAAGATTAATATAAAAAAAATGGTCACACTCGTTCAAAATTTTACAGAATGAAGTTGAGCTATTTTATTTTGAAATGTAATTAAAAAAATAATTAAAAAATAAAGGCGCGGATTATCTTGCAACAACAAAAAAATCAATAAAAAAATAGACTTTATAATTAATTTTTTATTGCTAGTTAAACTTTAAAGATGATTGGTTTATATCGATAATCTCAAGAGTAATTAAAAATCTATTTTGTCTCTCTTTTTTTTATTTTATAAATTATTTTCTCGATTAATTTAATTGCTTTTTTTATTAAGTGAAACATTATGAAGTTTGGTTACACATTTTTTTTAGAAGAGAAAATTGTCATGTAGCAGAAGTAACAATCAGTTTTTAACTGGAAGAATAAGTAAATGTTTTTTTTTTAAACATTAGAGAAAATTATTCCGGAGATAATAAAATTTTAAGTAGAACAAGCAAAGGTTTAATCGGACATTTTTCGCAAAAAAAAAAAAAATTATTATACTCTCAGGGCAAGAAAATTACATTTTAAATAGAACAAGAAAGTTTTTGGTCAGACATTTTTTTTCAAAATGAAAATTATCCTGTGAGAGATAAGAATTAATTTTTAAGTAGAATAAGTACAGTTATAGTCAGGCATTTTTCTTTGTAGAAAAATTTGTATGATTGAAGCTAAGAATTTTTTAAGTAGAACAAGTAAATGCTTGGTCAGGCTTATAGAAAAAAATAACCCAGAGCCAAGAAATTATTAAATAGAACAAGTAAAGGCTTAATCAGACATTTGTGAAAAAAAGATATTATATACTCTCAAGGCATAACAATAAATTTTTAAGTAGAACAAGTAAGACTTTGGTCAGACATATATTCCATCAAAGAAAATTATCTTTTGAGAGACAACACATTCACATTTTAAGTAGAACATGTAAAGTTATAGTCAGAAATTTTTCTTTGTAGAGAAATTTGTCTGATTACAGCCAAAAAATTTAAGTAGAACAAGTAAATATTTGGTCAAACATTTTTCTTGGTAGTAAAAAATTGTCTGATAAAAAACAATAATTTTTTAAGTAGAACAAGTAAATGTTCAGTCAGACATTTTTATAGAGAAAATTATCCATGAGTTAAAATTTTTTAAGTAGAACAAGCAAGTTTTTGGTCAAATATATTTTTAAGTGTAGACAATTAATCTATCTGTGTGGGTTGACGATTTTCAGTAGTATATGTAAAGTATTGGTCAAGCATTATTCAATAACAAAAATTATTATTATTAAAAAATTATATGTTCTATTAAAATCTAAGTTTTAAGTAGAACAAGTAAATGTTCGGTCAAACATTTGTTGATTTTAAACAACTGTTCTATCGCAGTATCAACAAATTTTACTTTAATTTGTTTTAATTTTAATTTTACTTTATTTTACTATAATTTACTTTATTTTACTTTAAAGCAATTTTCAATAATAAAAATTCGTTTAAAAAAAAAAATTTTTCATTTTAAAAACATCAATTTCTTTTGTTTGAAAAATTAGTTTATTTTTTCCACCCCGGCAAAAATCCAAATTGGAAATTGAAAAAAGACAAAAAAAAATTACTGCATCTTAGAAATCACAATTTTTGCGGCATGTGTGAAAAATGAGATCATCTCCTCGGGGACAGGATATTATTTCTACTTTTTTAGAGTTCATTTTTTTTTGGGGCGCGCAAAGATAGCATTGAAGGAGATGAGAGAAATGTTATATTTATAAATTCGCGACACGTTTCTAGTGGTCTGTCTATCAAGATTGGTTTTGCCTGTTTTGACGCAAAACTGTGAATACAGACGTGATATATATGCCTTGAGTGGGAGAATATTTTCTTGCCCACTGGGACAGGACAAAAAAAAAATATCTAACCAAACTTTTAGTGTTCATAT